TACCGGGAGCACGAACCGTATGCTGTGGTTCATACCTGCGTACTTAAAGTAGTTTAAAAGTGCAAATTTTGTTGATATATTTTAAATTCACTACTATATGGATCACAATTTAACGCGTTGCAGTAGAGTATGAATCCTGGATTCGGTGATGAAGATGGAAATTATGAAATCTGTTCATCAACACTCCCTCTTTGAAGTATAATGACCAGGGGTTTCCCAAGTTCCCATGTGGAGTATTATACCCTCTTTGCAGAGTTCAAGTTTGTACTAGTTTGCTTATAATTACCGCCAAGGGCAGGTGGAAAGTAAAGAACTGTCGATGTTTCTTACACAATTTTCCACCATTTAGATTTTTATTTCCCTTTATAAATGGTCATAAAAGTGTCATCAACGTCCCGTCAAAATATCCCCAATTGATGTAATTATAATACATCAGATGATGCCTCTATTTAGTGTGGTGAGATGCACCCTTTGTGTTATCATTTTCTTCATTATCACTGAGAATTTCTCAAGTGGGGTGTGCCAAGGTGGTTGGGGCATTTTGAAAGTAAAGAAATTACTAATTTTTCCATTTTTTAAAAACTACAGAGGTTTCAGGTTATTTGGACTCACTCGGTGTGGGATGAGTCATTGCGAACCCACAATACACGCACGAAAGACACACGGAAACATAAATGTATATTCATTTATTTATTAATTTTACTATTTCAAATTAGCATTTCATACGCCACTAAAGTCTTCATTTACGTATTTTAATTCCCTTAAAATTTAATTAAATTTATTACCTTTCACGCTGTGAATTCATTTGCAAACTATTCTTGGGTTTTCGATTCAGATTAGTTTTTATTCACATCTTTAAGACCTACCTCGATCTATTTGTATAGTATTCTAGATTGCCTTAATATAAGCATTAAAAAAAAATTTGTTTCATCAAATAATTATAAGCACATTGTTGAAAAGACAACACAGGTGAACTGATTTGGCTTACAAAGAAACGCGATGCTTTTCGTCTAGTTATTGTAAATGGCAATAAATTTACGTCCTTCGATGTTCACTTGATGTTCCCTGGTGAATTGAGAACCCTGGTGCTAATTTATCTCCCCTTTTAGCGTTACTGGACTTATTTCTCTCGATATATTGTACATATAGTTATCAATTACCCCTTAAGTGACTTCCTGCTTCCTAAGTGGGGAGGGACACCAAAGTCACAAAAAGTCAAGAGGAGGAACAGAAGAGTGATTCACAGATGTAAGTGAAACAGACACAAAGGTGGAGAAAAGGGAAAGGTGAGTTCTGTGAAAGTGGTCAAATATGTTATACAGTCGGGTCATGGGAGTTTGAAGTCAACTGTTGGTTTATAGACATCTTGCCGTATGAGTATATGCTGCCTAGGCAACACCACGTGAAGGTGAGTCTATCACGCTCCCTCGTTGTGTGACGAATAAGAGCACTGACTTTACCTCCAACCCTGGAGGTATTTTAGACGAAAACTGCCAAATCGCACACGCGGTTACGTAAGCACATTCACACCCAAATGTTGAAGCTGTCCTCGAAATCTGTCCACTTCTCTGTGGTCTACTCTCCTCTCCTCACTACTTGATGCTAAAGGAATAACCTTTAGAAATCAAAACAACCTAAGATCAAAATAGGGTTTCTAGCAGTTTTCAATTTGTTAGGCATGGGCAGGTGAGTGTTAGAATCATGATCCCTGAAAGTATTTATCCTAATCATTGAAGCCATTAAAATTATGCTTCAATTAATAACAATGTATCTATTCTTTCATGGCGTAACATCAAAAATTTAACTTCCAGTTAAATTTGAAGAAAATTAATGGAAGCAGTAGATTTATATTTTTCTGTAATAAATTTTCAAAATGTTGTACATATTTTGCCATCAACAATCATATTAATTTAATTGATTGACCTAACTTAGCACGTTCACATTCTGTGAAACCATTAGGAGTCGAGTACTAACACTTACTGAGAGTTTGAGGACTCACTGTGAATGAAGATGTTATATTAATCATATGAACAGAATCAGATCCCAAATGAGGAAGTGATAAAAGTCTATTCTATACTCTGTGTGAGCGCCGATCCTTTTATATATGATTTTACAAATACAAAACTCATTAAATCGTGGAATAATCTTACATCGGTCACACTACGATTAATCAGGTAAGATCTTAAATTGTGCTTTAGTTGAAGCAAATAGACTCAGTACTTTAATTTTGAATTTGAATTTATAATTATTAATTTGTTAATGAGTCAGAGAAAGTAGCATGAATAAATTAAATTAAATTAACTTGTATGATTTAAACTTTTCGTTGGTTTTCCCTAACATTGGTCACTTTGCGGTACAAGTTTTTATTAAAAAAACTGTTTGTTGAAGTGTGACTTTCGAGGGATTTGTTGCATTTAAATTCAAAATTGTTAAAATAGTGCTTTATGCTAATTTTAAATTTATTTCATTAATAAAAACTCTCACTAAATGAATTTGTACGATTGACAACCAGATGTTTTGATATAACCTGACAATTTTAATAATACAAGATGAAATTGTGATGATAAAGACATTAACTGAGTCACAGTAAGCCTAATTTATTCCCTTTCACGAACTCATCTTGAGATAATTGAAAGATTTATAGATATGTTATTGAAAGTGGAGATTTAGAAATACAAAATTAACCACCCTCAGAATGCCCCCCAATTTCCAGCTAAACCGTCATGTATGCAATGACCACTAGTGACGAAACCATAGTACGGAAGACTGAAGACTCTCTCCCTGCAAAGTTAATTTTAATTTTTAGTTATCAGCCTCCAATCTTTCATACACAACTTATTACTCACTGATTACCATTTTGTTAATAATTTATTATCTTTGACGGAGTCACAGTAAGCTTAATTAGTATCCATTCATGAAGTCATTTTAAGATCATTGGAATTCCATTTTCTTTAAATATAAATATAAACTCGTCCACCCTCGGAAATTTCCCAATGCCCATACACAATTACAATTCAAATTTTTCGTTTACAAAATATTTGAGTAAAGTTCGAATAGATCCTGCTCAACTCACGTTGTGGTGTGTTCACTGAGACTAAACAATGTTCGACTGTCAATAAACCGGACTTACATTGAAAGTTCTGAAACGTAGGACTATTACCAACGTAGATGTCATTTTGTGGAGGTATTTCGTGTAAAGAAAAATAACTACAGCTCCATCCCTGTTGTCTCATCATCACCATCCTACCAACACACTCTTCTAGCAATCAATTAGAAAAAGAGAAATTCCAAGAGGAACTTACTGAGATCTTCTCTGAGTTTAGGGATGTAACAATAGAAGTCTTTCGAAATGGAAGAATTCAAACTCAGTTGTTTTTAATCCCGTGATACCTTTACAAATTCAGATCAAGCACCTGAGATAGTAAATGACTTCTCGCCAGCTTCCATGGACATAATTTGTAAGCATTGAAATTCTTCTCTGTTAGGAAGAATACTCGTTGTTTTAGTGAATATCACCCATTTGGCAACGTTGTCATGACAGACCTTGTGCCTTCCAAACCACACACAAATTATTTCATATTTGTGCAAACAGAGGGCGATCACTGTCCCATATCGTTCTCTTTAAATCACAAACAGACACATTCCTTCATAATATGTGGTTGAAGCGTGGTCTGAAACATCAAAGGGTTAAATAAATGACAGGATTTAAGTTGAAAATATTGTCCTATGAATGCTTTGAAACTGTGGAACTTGTGTATTCTCAATAGATTTGTTGGAGCATATCGAGAAAGTCATGACAAACGGATACAGAAATTCAAGTAATTGGCATTTGATAAAAATGAGAGTGGGGAACGCTTATTTACTTACACTGGCACTTACTGCAAAACTCTTCCGATTTACTTTTCATCACAAAATTTTAATTTTCTTCCAGAATCATGAATAACTTGTAAATTTGAAGCTCCCTCTTTCAGCAGTTGGCTCAAAATTTCGCTAAACGTTAAAAAAAGAAATGAAACGTTGCTGTAAGAACAAAAAGAATGGTAACTGGCCAATATATATCAGTGTGAAAAAGCTAAGTGACTAGTATTTTAGGCCAAAGCCCTTGTTACGTACACGCAAAATTCATCAAGTGAATTTGATTTTTGTTGATGTGAGGTAGACGTATGTTCTTGAAAGGCTGCGTTTTTGACCTAGATGGATGATATGAAAAAAATTGCTGATCAAATTATCTGTGGTGAAATGTGGCTGGATATAATAAATAAAGCTACAAAGCTTGATGAAATCTTAAAGTAAATACCAAGGATTGGTGAATACAACAAATTAGGCAGCTAAAACTGCTGTTTCCCACAGCATTTGTTGAGATACACGTCAACTTGTTCGACTTCGACCCAGTTTGTAATGTTAAAAGTAACAGCAAGATTTCCATGTATTCAATGCTCGTTGATGACGGTGCATTTGTTCTGAAGAATAACGGATTACAGCAGACTGAAGACTCTCCCCCGTAAGGCTGATATTAGATTTTAGTTCTTATAGAAAGATGAAATACCAGTCGGCAACTGAGCTACTTTCTCTTAAAATAAACGGAGCCGAATTTCGTCTGTTTGTTATAAGTCTTACCTTCGATTCCCACCCTTGACTTAGCTTTCAGTTGGCCAGAAATCGTGAAGGCGAATCGGCCAATGCTCTATTTTCTCGAGCCAAAAAGTGGAGTTTGAAACACTCAGATGCATCGGCAATATTATTGTTTCACATGATCAATGTTTTAGCTTGATTTTCCTCTAAAGTGACGTCAGTTGTCAACCCCTCTATTCCATTTATGTATATATTCTCGAACGAATTTTTCTGTTCTTCAATACTGTTACAATGTTTCTCAATCACCTGGTTTTAATAATCTACCTATTTTGTGAATGTAAGTTGTCCTGCTTCACATTACTGTGATCCATTTGATCGAAATCGAAACATTGATTCAACTCGAACAATTTTATAAAACTTAATTTCATATGCTAGATGCTGAAAGCCAAGAAGCTTATGGTTCAAGAATTGTCACAACCAGTAGGGGTCCAGTTGGTCCCCTGAAGTTTTCAATGCTTGATGTTCCAGTGAGTAATCATTATTCCTCATGATAGATTGCTTCAATTACACCCTTCTTGAAAGACTGAAAATGACAAATACTACTTTGTCTCACAACAAGTGAGCTTTCTTATTTCGTGTTTTATTAGAGAGGCCAAGTTTGTTATCAGTCAGGATCGTCGTATCGCTTTGAAATAGATTCAAACAATAATTGTCATATCTTAGAAATGATAATTGGAAGCCCATGCGTTTTTGATAAAGGTATACTTGTTACATATAACTAAATGATGATTTAATTTAACTTATGAAATTATGAATTCGGGAGCAAATTTTAATCTTTTCCTCCATAAAATATATGCTTGGTATTTTTAGGATTAAGCACTGCAACACTTTCCTTTGACGATGTTTCTCAATACAAATATATCGAAGTAACAGATGGAACCTATGAGTATAATGTGTTCTTCACCGATCACTGCCAATTTCCTACTCCAAAACCCGGTATTTAATCCATATTTTTCTTAATGTCTATCTAATACTTTGATGCAGCCACATAAAGATAGAAAATTTGGTTATTATAAATGCTGTAAGAACTGAATGTCAGCCAAATTCTTTTTTAGTGATAAAATCACCAAACTAGTTACTATTTCCCTTTAGGTGATGTGGTAATCCCCCCTCTAATACCACTTTATCGGTATTTGAAGGACGAAAAATCCGTCGACATAGAATTCAAAATCTACAATCCACCTAATTCGAAACCGGTATAAGTTCACGAATGAGTGACTGCATTTATTAATTTATTTTCAGTAGCTTCTTATTTCAAAATGTTAAAAAGTTAAACTTAAATAATACCAATGGTACTGACGTTAATCAAATTTCGTATTTTGCTATGTAAATTAATATTGCGAAAGTGAGCATTTAATGAACAAATATTTCATTTTTTACCTTTGCCCTCTTAAAGATAAGGCTATTTGAAAATTCGAAAATGATTTGCTATTGGTCCAACGGGATATCAACAAACCAAAACCTCTGTCGTAAGTCAACATGAATAAAGCTGTTTTTCATTTAATTTCCATTTTCAACTGTACCGTGTCTTACAGCTAATCTCAATACCAATAACTTTACGCTCATATCCGAAGTGACTGTTAGGCTTACCGAGAGAGTAGGCAGTTTTGTTACCTACAAATGGGGCACTGAAGATAGTTCTGTTGCTTTAACCCTGGATTGGAGTAACTCAGGTAATAAAAAAACCAATATGTTTTTATTGTTATTCAAAAAATTATTTTATTATTTAATTTATTCCCTCAAAGGCACGCCTCCTGAAATCTACGAATGCCAAGGTAAGAATTCCTAAAATTCGATTGTGGTAATTTATTTGCACGTTCTACGTTGTTGCTTTTTAATATTATCATTTTCCTTTGTCTTAAAATTGATTTCACTTAACTCTTTCACAAATCCCATTATCTTCCCTTTGAACCTGACTCAACTCCCTTATTGACCAAAGACAATCCATTAATTACATTTTGTACTGTAAAATATTGTACGTACATCTATTTGTTTATTTTTAAATTGTTCATTTTATACTTTCACTTACATATCGTTTGAATGAACTTGAGAAATTTAAATTACTAATTATAAATATTTCGGGAACTAATTGAAGCTACTTTCATAAACAAAAATTTGTATTTTAACATTTTGAATATTGCCTGAGTATAAAACTTGAAGAAATAGAGAATGACCCTGAAAATCTGCACAAATTGCGGAATTGTAGTTTCCAATTAAACCATTCATATTTTCCCTCAAACGATTTACAGCGTGAATTATATCAACTATTTTAATTATGCTTTTAGTACCCACAACTTCCAGTGGTATGTTTCAAAGTTGATCAATTTGAGTGCAATCTTAATATACGCTTGAGCGATAAAATTTTCAAAGTTAATATTTCCCTTCAGTTGCATATAATTTATTTTCAGGCTATTTCATCAAACAAAATTTTCTGGTAAGAACAATGAGCATTCATTGATTTACTTTTAGCTCCGATTCAAATTTTTATAAGCTTCACCGATGCCGTGGGTTATATGGGCGATTTTGAATAAAACAAATTTTGTTATTTTAGATCATTTGCTTGTGTATCAGTCCTTACGTAGTTTAAAAAACTTAAAAGACGTTATTATATACATGCGTTGAAATACTTTATATCCATGTAATTTGATTTCTTATTACTGTAATTTATTTATTGGAATATCCGATTAATGCTAAATAATATACCTAATAGTGCAGATTGAAAAACAGTTTATTTCTGGCCTGTCAATATACTTGCATTATTAGGAGAAGTACCAGGTATGGTAACCAGTCTGCTTGAACAAGTTAAAAGTACCCAGAAATCAGATTTAAGAAATATGGTTTTGATGGAGGGTAACGTTGAAAAAGTGTTAAACTATAACTATCAGCACGGCAATTGGACTTCTTTCTAGTGGGTTTATTTACAAGAATTGTTAAGTAAATTTGATTAACAGTGAATATATTCAGAAATTTTATTTATTAAAAAAGTAATTTAATAATAATCTATTAAATACAAAATGGCACAGTTATTACTATGGAAAGTGATGATTATGCTTCTCAAAACAAGTGCCCTTAATTCGGAGCCCCATGGGTGCAATATGGTATTAACCAGTGACCCATAATGACTTCAATCATTGTAATGACGTACGAAATGATCACTCAAATCCTACTCGACAAACTATAAGCATGTAAATTTGAAGTTGAATTAATAATGATATAACTCTCAACAAGTTAACACTTGTCCAATTGAACTCTATCAACATGAAATCTGGCAAAAGACAAAGTGATAGAGGTAAAAAGAAACAGAAAGGTCTTTGTTAAGGCATCAACAAGTTTCACATCTTTCGATTTTCGAACTATAGATGTACATTTTTTACAAACTCACCAGTTCAAAGTCCTAATTCAAACTTCACAATTGCAAGGTCTGTATTGAATCAACTACCTCACTACGATGTTCATTCCCTAGTGACTGTTCTTTAATTAAGGAGAGTCTGTCTTGCCACCTGTTCTAATTTCTTCTACTTTCAATGATTGTGGCCCAAAAGTGCTCTACGTAATAAGGAGTAAGTTGGATATTCTGTATAGCATAGTGACATAGTTTACACAAAATATGTAGATCGGTCCTCACTTACAGGTGCCAAAAATTAAATGCAATGTTATGCGTGTCACAATCAAACACTATTTAGAGCAGAAATCTTGGAACCCGATCATTTATGTTTTCTTCTCAATGCCGAGTCTTACTTTGACAAAAATACTTCTGAAAATCATAAAAAGAATTATTCTAACGCATTCAGCGGAATTTGTCCTGAATGAAAGCGTCCTAGTGTGCCTTGTGTCGGAGACTACTGTAGTCATTTAAAATCAACCATGAAATTCATTTTATTTGAGCACCAGGACAGTCAGTTCCCACAGCATTCTTATTTACTGAATTTGGCATCCTTAAGTGGGTGATATTATTAAAATTGGGAAATTGCTAGTCATCGATGAAGTACTCCGTATACTCGTATTTGGAAACACCGCCAAAGGGAAGTGTTGCTGTTTTGAATCATAAAATGAAATTATTGAATTAATTAATTGAGTTTTGATTTATATTGGGGACTTTTACTTTTAAAAGGTATTGATGAAAACTCTAATTACTGAGTCATACTCTAATGAAAATGCTTCAGAATAATGTGATTGAATGTCTGACTAGGAAACTTTATCTTGCCGAAACATAAAAGACTGTAAATACTCAGTCTAAAGTGGCTTTTGTTCAGAACAAATGACCAGTTTTGCACATGCAGTTAATGACAAGCGAAGCCAAGTTTAATATTGTGAAAATTTATCGAACTTGTTGGCTGCTAATTTATGAATGCTGATGAAGCCCACTTATGTTCTTTTGTGATTTGCTTAATACCAAAGATAGCTGAAACCTTCTTACAAAAAAGAATTGCGTCTTTGAATCTCGGTGTCATCGACTTCTCCTAATTAAAAGTGAGTTTGATTGGCATTGTTGAATCGATGATCAGACTACTAGTAGACACCAGTCAGACGATTGATGTTTCAATGTTTGTGTGAACCCGCCTTTCCCTAGGAAGATCAGGATAATGAAAGAAGGCGTAAGGTTGGTCTGATAATTTTTGAGCTCAGGTCATTTCCCAACTTCCACTTCTACAACCGAATCTGAAACTCCTCCTTAAAACTCCAACATACTCTCCCATTTGAGTCTTCTATCCTTGTGTGTTCGCATGCCTTGCATCAGGGTGACTTATTAAGCCCTCTTCTCCAACAATGAGAGCATTCATATTTACTAACTTTTAATATGGATTATACAATTTAGTAAAGTCATTGTAAATGATTAATAGGCTTGTCACACATCTAATTAGACTTTGATTGAATTTATCTCTGGCATGGCATTGATTTTAGAATAATGAACCCTGACTGCCGTCTTTTTCAATCTCTTTTTTGACCTATTTACCACTAATAATGGTGCTTAAATAATTTCAGATTGACTAACTTCAAAGTGTTTTGAAACTGCCGCACGTAAACAAGTAGCGCATATCTTGTCTACAAATACCGCGATCAGAGCATTTTAAAAAACATTATTCTAAATCTCCATCTTCTTTTTCATACTAGTGCAATTGACGAATCTTGTCCGTTTTCCCACGCAAATCTTTGACGGATCACCAATCATATATTTAGTTTAATTTAGAACTCCGACAACTTGACTTTCCAATTTCACATAAACATTTTATAGAAGTTTTGCCATTGCTTTCGTCAAAAAATTTCTATAATTAAAAATTTCATGGGTTGAGATACAAAACAAATTCCTACACTCAAAGTAACCTAACATTTCTTTCACTCAGAGAAGAAGGCTGATCATGATGTTAAATTTTCATTTATGAGATTTTGAGCAATGTCCTGAATTACAAATGAAATTTTTTTAATACAATATTATTATTCTTGTCGTTATTATTACTATTACGAGACTAGGTTAAAGTTATAACGCTTGTTGCTAATTAACATGGGAGAGAGAAATCAATTTCCTCATATTTGTAAAAGCATTAATGAATAACTCTAACGAAATACAATTTGGAGACTGATTGAAATGAAGAGCCAATTAGAATCCACAAAAATCGAGTGAGCAAGGATATATTCAAGTAGTCTAGTCGTGTTTAGAGTCTTGTCTCACAGTGCAGGACTGAGTCTACGTGTCTCACATTCTTAGATTGGCTTCAGAATGCAGTAGTAAAAACTCCCTGTGGCCACAATTCACGTAACGCCACTGAGTCGGAACTGAAACTGGGACAGTAACTAATGGCAAGTAATGAACACCATTTTTAGCAAGTCTCTAGATTGAGTTGCATTGAGTTCTGAGTTCATGCCTTTAATATGTGGGGTGGGGGGGGGTATAAGTGAAAAATCATTCATATAACAACTTGGGCCATTTTTGACAGGATTTTCGTCCAATCAATCTATGAATGGGTAGATGTGAAAGTGGTCAAGCCTTTTTTTGTAAGCCACGATGACTTATGCAGAGAACTATAGGGAAATATGATTTTCTAAACACAATCGATTAGCATCGTACATCGGCAGTCTAATGCAGGATGAAATCACACATGTGATGAGTCTTGATTCGTAACAAATGGCTACTGCAAAATAATGTCAGCTAATCAACTACACATGCAATTCAAAGAGGCACCTCTTCAAATTCGCCTCTGCTTTG